TAATTGACCTTTTTATGAAAGTTGAAGGACCTATTTGACAATTTTCCCTATTTTCTATACAATATGTAGTTATATAATTACGTAATTATAAAACAAAAAAAAAAACTAAATTTGTTGTTCAAATTAGTATAGATTTCTACGTTAATATGATAGGTAAAATTCACATAACTTGAAGATAACTAAATGCCCAATTTGACGATTCTCCATTTTAAAAATGTAATAATGTTACTACATAATACGAGTAATTCTTTTGTTGTGAAAGGTAATAAAACATGCTACTTCGAGTACTTTCCGTCTTCAACTTTTTTTCTTTATCAAAACACTTTCATTTTATTCACTTAATTAGAATATCAATTTTTAATTATATTCTAAATTGAATTTTGCAATTTTACGGTGAATTTAATGTAATTTCTTTTTTCTAAATATATAAGATTGATTGATTGACCAAAAAATGGAGATTCTTCTCAGAATTATGCAAATTAAATAAATAATTCCCGAAATACTGCCGATTTAAAAATAGTTCCTGAAATACTGTTGGGGTTAACCATGGTTAAGCAAAGCCGCCACTCCAAGTGGCGGCTCTTCATCATGCTATACAAAAGTCGTCACTTGAAGTGGCGGTTCTGCTATACGTATACAAAAGCCGCCACTTGAAGTGGCGGCTCATTTGCAAATAAAATTCCGCCTTCTCCTTCCCGAACGCAGAACGACGGAACAAGGAAGGAGCTCTGCTGCTGCTGCGCGATTTCAGTCCGATTTCCGGCCGGCCAACATCCTAAAGAAGCTCAAATCAAAGGGAAAAAACACACTGTGTACCCACTTTCAACCGTTTTATTCGAGGTATTTCACTATTTTTCCTAAAGCTAGGGTTTTTTCAATTTTAGTTCGAAATTGCTTGTTTTTTTTGGATTATTTTATTTGTATTTGATGTTATGAAATATATAAGTTGTTAATGTTGTTATTATACTTGAATTTATTTAATTTGTAGAATTTGAATTATTTTTTGTGTTGGTTGGATTGAGTTTAATATATGATCGTTTGAGAAAGAGTAATGTATCAATCTGATTTTTTTAATGAATGTAATCATAAAAATGATATCTATGATTTTATACAATTTGTTTGAATTAAAATACTTATATTTGAATTTTCAACTTGCGGCTTGAGTCATAGTTTTTTTTGAATGATTTTTGATAGAATATGTCTCCAAACTTTTGGTTTGTCACTGGGGAGGAAATATAATCGAGGAGTCGAAAGCAATTCATTATGAAAGGGGGAGTCGGAAGATAATTGTTGTGTCCGGTGGGGTGGGTGTGGCTGAGTTTCATTTTCATTTTCATTTTCATTTTCATTTACCCCAGTGCCGTAAAGGCTCCCACCTACAGTGGGGTAAGGGGGGTCGGATGTAAGCAGTCTTACCCCTGCACTAAAGCACAGAGAGACTGTTTCCGGATGACCCATAGTGAAAATCGCGTCCAAAATTGCATGGACTGACTGCTGCTTCATAACAAAGAAGCACAGACAGTTTAGTGAGCCATTTTGCTTTATTCCATCATAATCTCAAGCCAAAAAATAATGAATCTTTGGCTCCATTGCAAATGGTGTGGCTGAGTTAATGAATAAAATTTATACTGCCACATCCATCAATCATATGAACAAGTTAGATTTGAAAGTTAAATATCACATTCATGGTGGATCATACATGTTGATGCCTCTTGGTGACGACGAAGCCGTTTCGGGGATGTGGACCTTGGTCACGAATCTTGCTATGCATACCATGGAGATATATGTTGAAGAAGCAACTATGTTGCCCATACAACCTGACAACCTATCATTATCTTACCCATCCACAAATGTTCGAGTTGTGATGAATATGGTTGCACATGAGAATGGAAGATACGTGAACAGTGATGCAACGTTTCTGGATTCACAACACATCGACGACGATGCAGATGAAAATGTCAATCATGACACACTAACAGATTCAGATGAAGATGGTGGTGATCTCATAAGTGGCAATGCTCCATCCGGCCACTACACTAAAGTTGATGACATATGGAGGGGTTGTACAACTTCCAGTCGCTTCTCTGCAGATGGTGAATTCGAGGTTGGGAAAGAGTTTGATGATAAGAAAAAACTGATTAACATGGTTAGAGTGTACTCTGTAAAGAGGAATCAATTTTTCTCAGTTGTAGAGTCTGACAAACACAAATGGGTGGCAGAGTGTAAGTGCAAAAAAGAATGTGGTTGCACTTGGCGGATCCGGGCTACAAAGAAACATACGGGGCTAGATATGTTCAAAGTTGTTCGTTATGCAGGTCCTCATATACCTACTTGTCTAGGTAACGTCGATAACAATGACCATGTTGGTATCACATTTCAGTTCATAGCCCGTGAAATTATTGATCTTCTTTGTACAGATCCATGACTAAAAGTCCGCACTATTAGTGAGCTTATGAAGGAAAAGTATGGGTATGTACCTTCGTACAAGCGAAGTTGGTTGGCTAAGCAAAAAGCTATCGGTGAAATATTTGGAGATTGGGAGGCGTCGTATTCTGCTTTGTCCCATTTCATGTTGGCATTACAACATTCCAATTCAGGGACGGTTGTGCATTGGTACCCACCTCCTTCAGGTACCAATGAGTTATTAATATCTTTTATTGTATCATATTACATTCCATTTTAAATTCGTCCCACTAGTTTTCTCCGTCTTTCAGGTACCACTAGCTTTGTGCAGTTTCAAAGAGTTTTTTGGGCATTTAAGCCATCCATTAAAGGCTTTAAGCATTGCCGTCCCTTACTGACCATTGATGGAACGCACTTATATTGGAAGTATAAAGGTACGTTGTTGGTGGCAATGGGTAGTGATGCTAATAATCAACTTTTCCCTTTGGCGTTCGCTATTTGTGAATCAGAGAATGGAGAGAGTTGGTCGTGGTTTATGAGATGCATACGTCATTTTATCACACGCAGAGAATTGTGTGTTATTTCAGATCGATATGCTGGAATTCAGAAGGCACTTGATGAGGTAGGTAGTGGATGGGAGGAGCCAGATTCACAACATAGGCTTTGCATACGGCATGTCGCTTCTAATCTGCATACTCAATTTAAAGACGTTCACTTAAAAAATCTGTTCGTTTGGACAGCAAGTCAATGTCAAAAGAAGAAATTTGATGGCGGATTTAACAGGATTAGCAAAATGTAGGCAGGAGCACGAGAATATCTAGCGAACATTGGTTTGGAGAAGTGGTCTTTACACCACGACGGGGGGTACAGGTATGGCACCACAACAACGAACATGGCTGAAGTATTCAATAGCATCATGAAAAGTGCATGATACCTGCCTATAACCGCCTTAGTTGAGTTATCATTCTATTGTGTGAATGCCTATTTTGTGGAAAGAAGAGAAACTAGTAAGAGAAGGTTAGCAGAAGGGCATCCAGTAAGTGACTGAACTGATTGAAAGAAATACGGAAAAGGCAAAGCATCACAAGGTCACAACATTTGACATAGGCTGTGGTTTATACCAAGTGGAGACGGGTCGTGGTGGTCGAACTGTGGGGAAGGGTGGTACAAAACAAACGGTGAATTTGCACCGTCGCCATTGCACATGTCAGAAGCTGAATATTTATAACATTCCTTGCTCACATATCTTAGCGGTATGCAGAGAACGTAGTTTGTCCTATGATGCTTTTGTTGATACGTTTTTCTCATTAGCGGAGTACACGGCTTCTTATAAAAGAGTATTCAAACTCATACCGGATATAGCTTATCGACCTACTTACACTGGACCACGAGTTGTGCATGAACCGTCAATGATTTGCGCTAAAGGTCATCTGAATGCTAAACGGTTGAGAAATGAAATGGATGAAGGTCCTAGAGGTACTGTAAGATGCGGTTTATGCAAGCAAACAGGGCATAACAAGACGACATGTGCTAAAAGATCGCAGGGACACGTAGGGAGTTCCACTGGGTAATGTTGTTATTTTATTAACAAATGCATTAACAACATTAAAAAATAAATACATTTAAATACATTTAATTTTAATAAAAAAATAAAAGAACTAATACATACTACCTGCGTCCCAAAAAACTTTGCCAATTTCAAAACTTTGACCAATTATATCTTTTTATTGGAAACTATTTATAATATAAAAATTTTATGAAAATGTTCTTTGTTAAAAGTACTCTCATAAAAGTATAAAATTTGTAACTTTAATAATATTATACTAATCAAAATCATGGTTCAAATTTTTTGAAATAGCAAAGTTTTTTGGGACGGAGGTAGTATGTTACTATTACAGCGCCAATGCAGGTGTTAGTGGATCCCACACCGATTGATCCTTCAGTCCTGACATTGCAGGCCACACACCGGAGCGAGGATGTGTGGCGTGGCCTGGATGTTCAGGTAGATAGGTGTCATGAGCACCTATGCACTATATTCCACATGCAGGTGGATGTTAGGATTCTACATTACGTTCGATTAGCCGGGTTTTACGGTGTTCACAGATTAGTTTCGACTCTGCATATAGATAGAGCATTACTTACCGCTCTAATTGAGCATTGGAGACAAGAGACTCACACTTTCCATTTACCGGTGGATGAGGTCACTATCACTTTGGGAGATATGGCTGTATTGGCAGGTCTACCCATCGAGGGTCGGGCAGTTACTGGGACTGCATGTAGAGTGTAGGTTGATTTGGTACACAGATTGTTAAGAATACGGCCACACGTTGGGACGGTTATTCGGGGGTCCGCCTTGAGGATGGCTTGGTTGAGACAGCATTTTACTGATTTACCTGTTGATGTTGATGACGTTGTTGTGCAGCAGTATGCTAGAGCCTACATTTTGATGCTTATGGGAGCCTCCATATTTGCGGACAAGAGCAGTAATCAGGTGCAGGTCTTGTATTTACCCATTCTAGAGACTTTTGATGTAGCAGCGCTTTATAGTTGGGGTAGTGCGACTTTAGCATATCTATATCGGCAATTATGTCGAGGTTGCCGTTGTGACGGTGGAGAGATGGGTGGTTTTTTATTGCTCATACAGCTATGGTCATGGGAGCACATTCATATCGGAAGACCTGCCATACTGCGATATCATGGAGTAGATGGTGGTCCTCTTGATGATGCTATGGATCAGCACGATGCATCTGTACTTGGGCCACATCATTTCCGTGGCAAGGACCCTTTGGGTCGTAGGTAAGTTTATGATTTTTCTTTTTGAAATTTATGTATGACGTATGTGAATCCCTTTTATATTCTTATGCATTACTGTGTGTCAGATGGCTATTTGCTCACGTCACACGCACGTCATCCGCCGTTGGATTATGGTACTACCGAGATGCTTTAGATCACATGTGTGATGATCGGGTATATCTTGTATATTATTAGATGTAAGTACTTTGTTTTACGTTTTTATAAACTATGATGTAACACTGTTTTGTTTTATAGATGACGTGGATGCCGTACACTCATGAGATTCTTGGACGGTTGCCTCCTTTTGGCCGAGAGCACACTGAGATATGGCGAGCATGTGTGCCCTTGATATGTTTTGATGTAGTTGAGCATCACTTTCCTGATCGCGTACTACGACAGTTCGGGTTACAGCAGGTTATTCTTGAACCTTGTGATACATCTGTGGACTTACACAAGATTGAGAGATGAGGGAAGCACACTGAAGATTGGGGGATGCGTCATATTCAGTATATCACTATGTGGGATGAGAGAGCGGCGTATATAGTGCACGGGACCCCATCCTTAGTCCCTACAGCCTCTGCAAATTACATGAGATGGCATTACACAATCACACAGGTGTTCATCTCTCCCAATTTTCGTCTACCCACTTATCATTACCAGCCTAGCTCGGTCGCTCTTCATATGACGGTAAACAATAGTCACTAAAATAACTTTATTTATTTATTCATTTGTTTTTCACTAATAACCATGTTTGTATTACAGACACGGGCTTTGCGTAGCATCCATGACAGAGCGACTGATGTACTTGATGAGGCAGTAGATGTACAGGGATACCATGAGGCTTGTTCGGGCATTGTTGCCATGTTCGCTGATGTATTGTGTCATGCCCCGGACCTACCCGGACACGTCAACAACCCGCCGTACAGAACGAATAGTCAACCGCGGTCCAACACATTCATACTATACAAGGCGTCTGAAATATCATTCACACGTAGTACATCCATAAACAAACATAATGTAAAATATTCATTAAAGCAGCGGAAATAATATTACAAGTGTTCAAGCCACACTTGGCAAACTTAAGCATACAAGCCCCCAAATAATTATTCAGAAAAAATATCCATGAGCATTTATATAATTGTTTTCAAAATAGAAACGGAGGAAGAACGAATCACGTCTTCTCTCGTAGATATCCCCGAAGCAACGGGCATCGGTAGCAAGCTTCAACTTCTACCTGAAACTGTGAGGTGGCCTCCCCTGTGAAAGGGAGGTCAGTACTTTGAAGCATTTAAAAAGTACAATGACAACTACACTGAATATAATCAATGTTTCAATTTCTAAGACCCTCAATCTAGGGTGATATTATATTATAGGCCATAACCCTCGGTTGCCCCGTTTTAAAAATATACTTACTTTATATAAAGTCAAGTATTCGACCCGTAGGCTCATATTCATTTAGAATTCGCCATATCTATTCCCCCGTGACCCCAAGTTACGACAACTCATATAGTTCATCATGCCACAATTTCATAGCAAGGGCTCGGCCCAACTACATTTCTATGATATCCGCTAGCCAAAATTCAACATATCACTATTGCATAGCAAGGGCTCGGCCCAACTACATTTCTATGCAATCTTACAATTTCATGGCAAGGGCTCGGCCCAACTACGTTTCCATGATTTCACTAATGCATGGAAAGGGCTCGGCCCAACTACGTTTCCATGTATTCCACAATTACATGGCAAGGGCTCGGCCCAACTATGTTTCCATGTAATTCTAGAGTATGGCTCTAATGCATCATTTTAGTCCGCTTCTCACACAAATCATATGCTTAGAACCCATTCACTTAGAGTAACCTTTCAGGCTTACCCCTAACATACCTTAGAGCTCATACAATTCATCCTTAAAGTATCTCTTAAGACTACTTAAGGCATCACTATTCATATTCCAATCCCTTAGGATTAATTCCATTATTATTCATATCAATCTCCCGACTAGTATTTTAATACTAGTCGGATAATCTTAGAACAACCAAGTTCATTATTCATAGTCCAATGATTCATTTCCAATGACTTTACAATCCAAATACAATTTAATCTCAATATCAAAAATATCCCTTTTATCCATTCATGAATTCTTTACATGAAGTAAAAGTGTATTTCATCACAATACTTGGTAGTAAATTCCTACTATCATGTCATCATATTCATAACTCATAATCATACACAATTTATCTAAATTTGTATATCATGCTTCATTTACTCACATGCAATGGTATTTTCATTTAGGCATTATTAATCATTAATAATCCATGAAAATCACATTTAATACTTTAGGTAATCTTATGAAATTAACCCAACAATTATAAGCAATATAGTCAGTCATCCTCACATTAAGATGTGCTACAATAGTTGCCTTTGTTAAGCCCTTCGATCAATCCCCGTTCTAGGTTGATTGAACACAAAACCGAACTGCCAGCCGAAAGTCAGGCGGCTTTTACGAATGCCGGGCGGCGTTCGTCTGTCTGCAACACGGGCAGCTTGCTTATTCTTGGCGGTTTCCGGCGATTTCGACTCCTATCGATTCACCAACTCTCCTAAGTTAAATACCAGCATTTTATATCAATATTCTACACTTTTAAACGTGTAGAACTCGTGGTTTAATCCACCATATGATTTCCTAAATATCATACACAAAACTAGCTAAAAAATAGTTGTAGAGTTATTACCTTTCTTTCTTGCTAGTTTTTCTTGGGTTTGCTACTCCTCCTTCCTCCTCTAGAGCTCCTGATTTTCTTGGTGCAAATGAAAAGGAGAAAATATCTCCCCAACAATTAGCTCACAATAATAGGGAGTGTAGGACCCTTTTGGATGTTTGCATGAGCCTTCTCCCATCCCTCTCATCCACAAGTCCCGAACATAGCATTTTAGTTTGTCTCCAATTCATTATTTGGAGACCACAAGTCATGTAGAAAAATCCCCAAGTGGGTGTAGAAAATCTCTCCCAATTATTTTTGCTATTTCTGGCAGGTTGGGTCAAAATAGCACTTGTTGGTCCAAACGTTTTCGTCAACCTTAGTTGACATTTTATTGGGCTTCAATAATTATTACGATGACCCAACTAAATATTTGGTAGTCCATTCTCAATATTATGGACCTGATAAATAATTTAATTAATCATTCATTAATTAAATATATCATTCTTTTACACGAAATCATTCGCTAGAAAAATTAAAATACATGCTGAATTTCAAATTCAAGTACATTCGGGTGCGGTGTCACATATTGGGCCGAGTAGATTATGGATATATGGCCGACTCTCAGTATTCCACTGCATCCGCATCCACAGCAGGGTCTTCTCAGGCAGTCCGACGTGATATAGTTGTTCTTCAGCCTCGTAACCAGCGCAGGCGTCCTCGAGCACAGCCACAGGCCCACAGCCACATGAACTTCATGATGATGATGATCATGTTGACTTATGATCTTTGTATTTGTATTATTGTGTGAGAGTTGTAACATGCACTGGCAGATCGAATCATTTTGTGAAACACCGGATTTATTATAACTTCTATGTCTTATTTCAAGTGTCGTGATGCAATGAGTTTCATTGATTCGTTTTGTGTTTTAGAAGTATTTTGTCTTAGTAAATCATATGTTTGGTTGTTTGTTTGAGTAGAATGGACTCTCATGAGCAGATTTTCTGGTAACTACAAGTTCATTTGTGTAATTAATAGTTCACCAGCTTGTTTAACACAAGAGTCACCACTTCAAGTGGCGGCTTTTGTATACGTATAGAAGAACCGCCACTTCACGTGGCGGCTTTTGTTTAACCATGGTTAACCCCAACAGTATTTCGGGAATTATTTTTAAACCGGCAGTATTTCGAGAATAATTTATTTAATTAGCATTATGGTTGGACTCGGGTCGGGCCATCCGACCCGTGGACCGGCCCGGCCCGCTACTGTGCGGGACCGGGACCGGCCCGGTTCTCGGGTCCGGGTCCGGGTCGGGCCTAGGCCCGGGGGGTAGGGTGGGTCCGGGCTCGGGTCTCAATTTTGGTGAACCGGCCCGACCGGGTCGGGCCCGGGCCCGAGCCAAATTGAATTTTTTTTATTTTTTTTCATTTTTGGGGTTCCACCCGGGTTGGGCTTGATGGGTAGGATGGGTTTGGGGGGGTTTGGGAGGGTGGGGGGTTAGGAAAGCAAAAAAAAAAAAAAAAACCGGAGGCCCGGGCCGGTCCCGGGTCCACTTTTCTTGAACCGCCGGCCCGCCCGGGCCTAGGCCTGACCCGGACCCGACCCGGACCCGAGTCCATCCCTAATTAGCATTATTCCGGGAAAAACTCAAAAAAATGTTGAATTTGCAAATCAATTTGAGACGAAAGAATTAACCTATTTTCAATTATACGGAGTAATATTTATTTATAGCAATAATGAAGCTCCAAATGAGTGGTAAATGAAGCTTCATTTTTTGTAGATTTTAGCAATAACATTTATGCGCCCTAATATATTTCACAAAAAGTTTATAGATTTTTTTATATTGAAAACTGCTACAATGTGCTAAACACGTACCTACTGTTAAACACTAGCACATAAAAACAGTATTGTGCCAGAATGCCAGAAAAGTAAAATACAATCATCTGTAAAATTCTACAATGGAGACCTAACTCTAGTCATTTATCCACCCAGACGAGTTCTGTGAAAAGGGGCGGTAAGGACCTTCAGCGAAATCAAGGGAGCTAAAACTACGATGACTACTGCTAGAACGAGGATTATTAAAGTTATTCATCCTTGACTGGTTCACCTCATGCAGTTGCTGCGGCGGTTGACTCCACCCAGCTGCTGCTGTACTCATCCTACCATGCAAAGGAAAACCGTGATCAAGGCCCACGGTGTTTTGGCTCAAGTAATCCTCACCATAGATTTGAGCTTGTGTGTGATGAGGAGGAACAAACTCAGGTGGACCAGGGGGGCTTGGCCACCTGTTTGGCAAATACTTGCTCACCACATCATCATTGTTGTACTGAACACCAAACTCTGTTCGTCCTAGTGGAATTCTTTCTTGACGATAGGATGGAGGAATATGGCATTTGCCAGGTGAGGAACTGGAAAAATAATTGCACTCTTCACCTTGATGAATTGATATATCCCCACCATCAGACATGCTGGGTGAGGGGTGACGTGGCATGGGTTTGTTATTTTTAATTGGTCCATTGAATGACTTTCTTTTGCGTTTCTTCTTTTTTTTACTGCAGATCCCAGGCTTCGAGCTCTGGGCAGGTTTCTTCTTTCCACCAGGGCTAGGAACATTCTGGGCTTCAACTGCTGCTGCTGCACTGCTGCTATTGAGACATCCGGTGGTGGTGGCAGCATCTGTTGGTGATTTGGTTAGCTCAGCCTTATTGGTGTTTACTTTTACTCTCACAGGTGGTGGCGGCGGCGCCAGCTGTTCCAAATCATCCACAGTGACAGGTGGCTTCTTAGACTGGTTCCCATCCAGCTTGTTATCCCTTGACAAGTGACCACGGTATTCTGCAATTTCTTTGTGTTTCCTGGTCCAATCTGGACGGCTCCAAAGATAAAGGGGTGGCGTGGATAAGTTCCAATCCTCCAATGTTTTGTCATTCACGTCAATTGATCCCGGCAAATAAAACGCCTGTGAACAAAAAGAGGTGCCCAAGTCACTCTGTATTAAGATTAAGATGACTTGAGCCAATCTGATACGTGGAGTGCATTTGTGCCTTAAATGTGAGCTTGTATTTTTTTCCATTATTAAATTGCTCCCTCAATATTATTAGCACCTGTTTGACTGTTTCAACAAGTAGGGTATTATGAAGTTGAATTACATTAAAAAATTGATCACCTTTCCACTGAGCAACTCATCATTCTGCCAAATGAGATTGTATGGATTCTTTTTACCATCAAGACTAGCAAAAGAAAACAAACAACAAGTGCCGTTGGGAAGATAAGGTGAAATGAAATAGGTGCAGAAATGCAGAGTATATGAGCTGAAAGGAAAAACAAGTACCGTTGGGTCTCACGGGGGACAATAAGGATGAGAAGCTTTGGCTTAAACTCGAGAGCTTTGTTAATAAACTTATTAGCAAGTCCTGCGTTCACTCCAAATGGAGGATTAAGCCCCATGATCTGCACACACACACACCAATTTGAAAAAATAGTGGTACATGTGAGCGATTGGAGTGTATGATGCCGGTGCTCCACGAGTATTAAATTATTCTTATGATTTCAAGCAGAGTTTCTCACCAACTTTGACCCGGGCGGTAATTCCTTTGGCTGGACAGTCATCCAGTCTCTCTTCTCAAAGCAAAAATCGTTCTGCTTGAAAGGGAGAAACTTCATGAAGAGATGCAGATCCACTAACACACTACGGTACAAGTAAAGCTCGTACAACCAAAAAGTTCTCACATACACCACTAAAAATATAAGCATGTCAACTAAAATTCACCTTTGGCTGCAAGATATCAAAATTTCTAAAAGAGCATTTCTTCCCAATCTCATCCACCTTCGTTTTCATAAGGCAGCTGAAATCATTCGAACCACAACAGAAATCCACTATCTGTTCAAATTAACAAGGTTTTCAAAATTTTAGACTGAGAGAGCTGCAACAGGCTTACTAGATAATATGTGCATCAATTCAGTACTTAATCAATTCGATAGAAAATAAAGATCAATGTGCACATATTAATACCACATGAATTAAGAAAGAAAATAAGTGATTTCTTAAGAAGTGAAAGAATGAATATTAACCACACAACTTTTTCACTAAAAGGAACGTGAATATAATATTGGGACAGCCCAAAATCTAAAGCGGAAAGTTTATTTTGGGAGAGGGGCACAATCCAGTGCATAAAAAGTCCACGGAACATATCAAATTGACACAGTCAATGCTACAGGACTACATCAGAATCTGAACCGCGGGGAATTCATGTGCAAATTTTCATCATATGATCAATGAATCATACAGTGTAATAATTTAGCTATACAAAACAACCATCTCACCGTCATCATAATTTACATTTGCAGAGTGCTTATGTTTATAACTTCACAAATCTATATGGTATTCATGATGGCATACATGCATTTTTTAGTTTTAGTAACAAGATTTTGGTGCCAAATAATTTTAGGAAATTGTTTTTTTAACTCAAGTGTATCTTATCAGCGTGGTTACGGGGGATGCTTACTGTGTCACCATCTTGCACATACCATTGAAGCATACTCACGATCTGCATAAAAATGCACAATGAAACAGTTATCAACAAAGGGAGAAAGTAAGATTTTTCTTTGAAGAATACACATGGGAGCTCTGCATAGTGTGACTTAAACACACAAAAAGCAAAAAGAACCGTCAAATCAATCCTACTGTCGAAAGTGTACTCTTATCGTGTGATACCTAAAGAAATTTAAGGTTCCCCAGCCAGAGTCCAAAATGATTGCAAATCACACTCGATTCATTGACACAACTTGACATCCATATACTATTAAAGAAAGGAAAGTGGGATAGGTGCAAAAATATGCTCTTCTTCCGTCACCTTCTAAAACTCAAAATACTGATAAAAAATGCTAAAAATCACCTTGACACAACTTGATTGCAAACAAATTTAAGGTTCCCCAACCATAGAGTCCAAAATGATTGCAACACGCGCTTGACTCATCGACATAACTTGACATCCATATAACATTAAAGAAAGGAAAGTGGGATAGGTGCAAAAAGATGCTCTTCTTCGATCACCTTCTAAAACTCAAATTACTGACCAAAAATGCTCAAAATGCGCAAAGATATATTGATCAAATGGCCTACTTGATGTACTTTACCATTAAACAGAATTCAAGTAATAATTGTTGGCCAGAATGAAATTTAAGGGCATAGGTACATATTATCAAAAGAGTTTACACAAAAAATTAAAACAATAAATAAATATAGGATAAAAGCAGTTAAAATATAGAAATAGTATATTAATATAATTAACATAGTTTTAGTAGTATAGTTTACTGTGCCAATTAGGTTTAAGATTTAGATTTCATTTTCCTATTTGGTTTAAGATTTAGCTTTTCTATTCCTACCGGGTCTAGCTGGTTAGGTCTGTTACTCCATATAAGCAACATATTGGTCTCTAGAGATCATCAAGTTGTAGGTTTAAAGTCATATCATTAAAAGTAATAGCTTATTATTCCACAACCACAGAATTATAGTACCAGGTCCGTTTAATTGTTCCTCCTACAGGTATTGCACTGAGTTTAAAATGAAAATAATAGAGGTAGTAAATAGTAGAAGAGAAGATTATCAAGTTGAAAATTTAAGAAAGAGAAAATGAAAATAAGGGTACTTATGTATTTGGATCAAGTAATACTTTGTACTTACAAACAGGAAATTTGAGCATATAATAACCAAAAAGAAACACATAACAAATTAGGGGGGTATATGATATCCATAATATATTGATTCTCTAACAGAAAAACTAATTCTCTAATTATTGATATTCATAATAACTTCATTTCTTAAAAGCGAGTAACCATTCTTAAATGAGATGTTGAACCTTGAAATTTAAGCAAGTTTCTCAAATAGAAAGGTGATCAAAGATGAAAGCTTTTTATCTCTATATTCTTACGAATTGATATGTTTCCCTACTCTTCCCACCTTGGTGGGACTATATTGTTGGGATATGGGAATGAAGTGAACAATGTAATTATCAAACAAAAGCATATTACCTCCTTTAGCTTGTCCACCTGAGTGAAGTGGCGGCCAAATGAAGTGTAGCGCACACCATATAAAAATGGAGCAAGATACACCTTTAGCTTGTTCTGCAAACATGAACAAAATACCATTAGAAAATAAATTGCCCAGAGTCCCAAACAATGGTACAGAAAAACTCCATTTCCAATGGAGCCAAAGACTCGCTATTTTTGGGCTTGGGATTATGATGGAATAAAGCAAAATGGCTCAGTAAACTGTAGTTTGTATGCACTTCTTTGTTATGCAGCAGCAGTCCGTCAATGCAATTTTCGACGCGATATTCATCACGGGTCATTTGGAAACGGTTTCTTTGTGTTTTAGTATAGGGGTAACGGGTAAGGCTACGTACATCCGAACCCCCCTTACCCCACCATAGGTGGAGCCTTTGCGGCACTGGGGGTAATGTTGTTGTCGTTGTTGTGTAATGGTACAGAAAGAAACATTTCAAAAAGAGACTTATAAAAAAACCTTGGATAATTGGCAAAGTTTTATTCACAAATTGCTTTGAAGTGGTATTAGTCTGACTAGGTCTCCACAAAAAAGCAAAATGTTCAATACAGAACATGTTTAAAAATAAACAAAAAAGAAATAGTAAAAAAGCCACATACATAATCCGTATATGACCTATGTATTGGTGTAGAATGCTTACAATTATTAAAATACTCATCACCAATTATGATCAACAAAGCTTATGAAATCAAATGCTACTAATATTAAAGTACTCATCACCAACTAAGATCATACTACCTCCGTCCCAAAAAACTTTGTCATCTCATAAAATTTGAACCATGATTTTGATTAGTACTCCCTCCGTATCACTTTAGTTGTCCCACTTTCCTTTTTGGGACGTATCAAATTAATTGTCTCATTTCCCTTTGGAAAGAAACTCAGCCTAAAAGCAGCTATAGTACCGGTACAGTAGCGCTACAGTACCAAAAATCTCTTACTTTTTATAAAGTATACAGTAATTATCTTAAATTACGAGCAAAAGCAAATGGGACAACTAATGTGATACGGAGGGAGTATAATATTATGGAAGTTATAAATTTTATACTTTTATGAAAGTACTTTTAACAAAGAACATTTTCATATCATTTTTGTATAATAAATAATTTCCAATAAAAATATATAGTTGATCAAAGTTTTAAAGATGCCAAAGTTTTTTGGGACGGAGGTAGTACATTAAATACAAAAGCTTTAAGTTATTTTAGATAGTGAATGCACTATGCTGCTACTAATATTAAAATACTCATCACTAACTAAGATCAATGATGCATACGAAATACAAAAACTTTATGTTATTACCTCGTCAATGCACTATAATGTAAACAAAACTTAAAAAACACTCTGATCACCGAATTAAAGCTTACACTCAAGTCAGGGATAAATGAATGTTAGATAAAGAACTAATTGGACCTTCCACTTCATTATCTGTGTGAGATGAGCAGGATCACAGACTACTTTGGCATCATCAACACTTCCTCCCTCTTCTAGCCTTTGCAAAGCTGTGCGAATTGCCTACAATTACATAATTGACTATCACTGCTCAGTGCCTCAAGTATAGGAGAGCTTAACAGAGTAAAAAGAAAATGACAAAAATTACCTTAATAGATCCCTCAACCTTTCCCAAGGTTATAGACTTGTCGATAGCAAATTTTGAAGAGTATACATTTTCAGTTGGCACTTTGAGCTTCTTCAATGTTGTATCGAGAGTTATATTGGAAGAATCTTTCACAATGCTCAATATTCTGAATAGTTGAAATGGATAATAAAAAGTGAGCTATATAAGATAATATGTTGAATTAATATTATAACATGCCCCCTTTCAAAAAAAATACAACATGCCCCAAGTCAATAATACTACGTACAATATAGTGAGAAAAGGAAAGTATAGCTCAATATAATTTGAACGCCCACAAATTATATCTAATCGATGATAGGCTCACGTAAAAATCAATTAAACTCAGTTGGTCGAATGAGCACGAGTACTTTTACAGCACTCTGTTAAACAATAGAACACAGCTAACATCATTTTCATTCCTTGGTGGTTAAATGAAACACGAATAGAAGGCAAACAAAGCAAGCGAGAAGTAAAATTAATGTTGGTGCACCTTTTTTTCGAGTCAGCGTCTAGAGTCAATGAAGTGCCTGTTTCCTTTTTTGCAAATGAGACTTTGGCCACTTCATTAGAACCAACTGGCTCAGCATCATTGCTCATCCGCTGATTAAGCTCAAATAGTTTTTGCCCTAAAGACACTTTGCCTTCAGTCACAGCAGGTTGATATTGTTTAGCAGAGGAAGCCTTCTCCAAACTCTTTCTAGTAGTGTCCACCACTCTCTGTTTCTTGAATGAAGTGGGTGGGGGCAACTTTCCCTCTCTCTTTTTAGAAGAAACACCAAATGATCCAGTGGATGACTTCTGCTTGGCAACATAATTTTGATTGACAGCTTCAGATAAAGGACTGATACTCTTTCGCACAATCTTCTTTTTCCCCACCAGCTCAGGTTTCTGCTTTATTTTATGTAGATTAATCCCAGGAAATTTTAAATGGTTTCTAGTAGGCGTCAGAAGTTCTTCATCAATTTCATGCTCTCTGTAAGGTGAAATTCAAATCAGCCTTAATGTGGAAAAAAAACAAATGCAAAATTGGCTTCACTTACAGGCAGTAAAGCAGAATTCTGTTTGGAATAAGATTGTCCCAAGCCCTTTGTACAATACCCTCATCCTCATTCTCTTCGAATGCAATCTCACTGACAATGTGAATGAAAGCATCAGCTAATATTCTAAATATTCTAAGTCATAATAAGTACGACCTTAAAAGAAAAAAAGGAGGGGAACCTTGGCAAACATTTTCTATGATATGATCTAGGACACCGCCTGCATATAGCAAATTGCAATTCCTTGTTTTTCTTATCTTCAAGCATATTACAAACAAAACACTGATGCATGGGACAAGCAAAATCTTTTCCAGCAGCAATATTTTCCACAAGACTTTCCACGTTTAACTGGTTATTGCGATTGAGCAGTTTGGCCACACAATGTGGATGGTAAAAGCGACCACAGGTTGCATTAAAACAACGAAAAACCTGCAATTGGTTTTTAAACTGGAAATTGTCAACAAAGTCACCAAAAATACTAATAAAACTGAGTGAAAAAAATACAAAAACTAAAACATATCAATGCCACCATTTAAAAGGTAAATGCAGTCTCCCATAACAGATATACTCACACAATAAAAGGCTAGAGAAGTTGTTGATAACGAAAAACAAAGAAGATGTGGAGTGGAAAGAGAATGAAGCAAATATTGTAGAGAATGCATAAGTTAGATGTTTCACAGACTAGGGAACATAGAAAGCAGATTATAACTATCAAAGCAGAGTTAAGCTTTTGTCGTGAGGAAGAACTTTAAGAATTGTTACTTTTATTTTGAACACATTCGGACTCGTTGAATAGCAAATCATTTTAATTCTTTGAATGGATCCATACCTCAGCACCAGAGGATAAATCTGATGACCCCAACTTTCCACACGCAAAGCACTGGTGTTTTTGATATTCGCAATTCTTGCAGTAAAATTTCTGGATAGCCTACAGTAATCATACATGCATATGAATTAGTAACAACTAACAAGTAACCTATCTATTCAAAGGAAAAGCTGAGCGCTACCAAACTCACAGCATAGCAAAACCAAATTACACTATTACTAGTTCTGAACAAGGTAAACCACTGCAAACAAGTCTTCCCTTAAGAAGGAAGTGGAAAATTCACAAGGTAGAAGCTATACAAAAAGAAGAACTCAAACGCCCAAGGCTGATACGACATAGCCATCTTACTAGTTTTGCTACAAGATGAACCCATCACACATGTAAGACGCATTTTGTGAATGATGCATAACTTACGAAAGTGATAGTAAATTAAAAGAACAGAAAATAAATAGAAACAAAGAATACTATTTATATAGCTTTAATGCCAAAATAATATTAACAAGGTGGATCTAAGGAAAAAGAAAATCAACATGTTACATTAAGTAAAATAGCTGAACATGTTCTCAATTAACATGACTTTGACACTCTGATGTGCTTAATTGCTTATCTCTAAATCTTTCACTTAAAGCATCTCTAGTGACTTGCTTGAGTTGCTACCTATATAAATGCCTCCATAAGCATAAGAAAAATAAGAATGCATCAAACGTACATCAACTTGTTGACGAGTAAATCCAAGAGATTCACAATAAGATTCACGACCAGCTTCTTTAGTAGCATGGAATGACCTCAAGCACTTCCCTTCGCAACTGTGAAATTGCCAAAAGTTGACATGTAAGGCAAAAATATGAAAGGAGTAAATGCAAGTGGTACCACGTAAGTGTTTGAACTTTGAAGGGATATATTCAATATGCAAAAGTCTAATGATATTGCTTAGGCTGGTATACTCTATACTCCCTCCATTTTCATTTAAGTGCTTTATATTCCTTTTGAGAATTTTTTTATTATTTGCTCCATTTCCTAATTTGGCAAGTTTTACCCTTACCTTTGCAGTTTTACCCTACATTACAGAAATAATCTTAGTTGTTATCTTCTCTTTTGTACTTTTTCTACTTTCACATTATCCCTCTCCTAATATTCACTAGCCCTACTATAGTACTATTTCCATCTTAAACTCCATGAAAGAAAAACTTACTTGAACAATTAATAGAGAATGGAGTATAATATCATCATTATCATTACCCCAGTGCTGCAAAGGCTCCCACCTACGGTGGGGTAAGGAGGGTCGGATGTACACGGTCTTACCCTTGTGCTAAAGCACAAAGAGACTGTTTCCGAATGACCCATAATGAAAATCGCGTCGAAAATTACATGAACTGACTCTTGCTTCATAACAAAGAAGTGCAGACAGTTTAGTGAGCCATTTTGCTTTATTTCATCATATTCCCAAGCCAAAAAAGGGGAGTCTTTGGCTCCATTTCAAATATGGAGTATACTATAATGTAGAATAATACTTGGGAGAAACTAACTATTGAGAACTAGGTTAGGGGAATTTGAAGAATGGCGCCACAAGACCAACAACAAGATTGTCAAAATTGATATATATGTGTATATATATATATCAGGAAAACAGGATGTACAACATGAATGTACAACATGAATACATGATACACCTATTAACGCAACAAGAAATAATGAAAAAAAACTGGGAGTATATGTGACAGAAACAAAGAGCAACTGCACTTGACTAATTTAATATAAAGAGAGATTGAGATGCATGCGTAAGAACTTGTAAAAGAAACATACCAAATAATCTCACCACCGTTATCACAGATAGCACAAACAGATTCAAACTGATCATCTTCATCATCATCAGAGAGATCTTCTGAACATTCATCAGCTAGATCATCATCTATAAACCCTGAAAGGGTTTTATCATTGACCTGCTGAAAAATCTGCACGCTTAAGCTTCTAGGCTTCCTTTTACTAACCACCTATCTTATCTACTTATGAATATTTACAAGGTGGAAAGTATGGGGGTTGGTGTAATGATATTTGCAAAATTAGCCTGACCTCATCAAGATTTCTATTCTTTGTAGGCCTCTCTTTAAGGAACGTAACTAAGACCTGAATAAGAAAGCATGAATCACTTTGTAACTCAGGATTCAAAGACTTGCAAACACCATTCTGATACTCTAATGCGGAAAAGGAATGAACACCAATAGGTGATGCATTACAATATTGCATACAATCATGAATAAACATGTCTTTGACTCTTTGTTTCCAAACAATTTTCATAAATAAAATAACATCAGAAGCATCACTGACCTTAGATTTGGCCAATAGTGCATCATGCTTTAAAGCTTCGCTAATGAAGTCTGTGTGTTCCATTAGGTCATTATCAGAAGGCCTTCGCTCAAAACTACAAAGAAAAAACGTATGAATAACGTGAAAACCCCAAGCAGACGTAAAGAGGGGGTTATCATAAGGGATCGTAATAGAAACCTGAAAACCTTGTGCATATTTTCCCACATGGATTTAAGAGAAGAGTCGGGATTTTTTCTGAAAAATTGCAAGCAATGCAGGGTAACAACTACTGATCTAATAATTGTATCCTCATATGCCTTTCTTGGTTTAAGAAGTAAGATCCAACTCTCTTTTTTATGTAGCACCCAAATGTCTGGCTTCATACTTGACAAATCGAATTTCCAAGCAGTAACTTCTTCATAAATCTTCATATTGCCATTATCAGCATCACCACGTAAAAATATATGCTTCCTCTTCCCAACTGAACGCACACCCTTTTTCCACTGAATCGATAACTCACAGAACGAAATAGGCTCATCGTTATCGTCTACAAAATCATAGTTGGATACAGTATTTATTTTTGCTTCACATTCATCATCGGAAAATGCCATGTCTCTCATCCAATTGTTAGTAGGGATCTTAAACACAAAACATCAATAGAAAACATATGCATCAGCAACAATAAGATGATATATCTATACATAATAATGTAGTTTGCTTTGAAATTTTCCTGACAAAATCACAAAACTGATGTTTTTTAAACCCATTCCCACCTAAACAGTGGAGTGGTAAAAACAGCTCATGCACTCTATAAATTGAACTAAGAATATTGAGTTTCTTCCATTAGCGGTCCAGAAGAATCTCTGCATAAAATTTTATCTTGACTAGGCACGAATAGATATCTAACAAAAATGGCAATTTCTACGTAGATATTAAATACGGATTATTAAAAGTACAAATATTTTAAAGAAAGCTGACACATATTTTACAAAACCTAAACTATACAGCTGAATTAGTCTGTTGTAAATAAGAAAAAAGTAAAAAACAGTGACAGAGAATGTTTTATTTATTTATCTAAAACGTGAGAAATAAAATACTCCATCTTCGAGAAAATATTGTGCCAATAGAAAATCTGTGAAGTAGTAATTCGAGTTTGGAATTTAAAACATCTAAAAACCCATCAATGATGCAACATCTATCAATTGTGTATCAGGATAATTGAAACAAGACATGCTGGTAGTTGAGAACAATTATAAGGTGGAAAGGTTGAAGCAGAAGATAAATAACTGGATGGAAGAAAGAACGGTTGAATTGTCGAACCCGAGGGCTACCGAAGTGTCATCGCCAAAAGCAGCGCTTGTTGGAGAATGGGTCGGAGGAGGCCACAGCCAAATGAAAATTGGTAGAGAAAGTATGAAAAATCCTCCAGGGTTTTTTACCAATGCAAATGCTTTTCAGTTTTTTGTTGAATTTCAAGTTTATATTTGTGGTTTTCAATTTTTCTACTCCCTCCGTCCCAAAATTATCTTCATAACTATTCACACGGTCAACTGAAATTACTCTTAATCTTTTATTTTATATATCAAATTTTTATCAAACTTAAATTTTTTTAATCAACCTTTGTAGCGGATTTAATGTAGTTTCTGAATATGTAAATTTAATTTACTAAAAATAATCTGAGTGTGAACAGAGATCAAGTTACTTTATCATCAGTCAAGCATCGTAAACCGAACTACGAAGATAAATATGGGACGGAGGAAGTATAACGGTTAATAAATTTCCGAGTAGTATTTCTATTAAAAATAAAAAATGGTGAACAAGCTAGCGTGTTTGTGGGGTTTTCAGATTTGTAAAACAAAATAAGTGACAGAATTAACTCAGCAATGGTAATATTTGATGTAAAAATTTCATTTTTAATGTTCCTCAAAGGTATGCATAGTATCCTTCATGTAAATCTCTATCTAATCTTTTAACATTTGTACTATTTAAAAAGTTTTTAAGAATTTCCAGTTATATGTTTGACATGTCAATTTTTAACGGATTTTTCAAAATTAAAAGATTTTTTTAGATACTAGTGAGTAGCATCTCAGGAAAGTTCGTAGCTTTTAGCATTAATTAATCCTAATAACTTGTATATCAAACAGAGCTATATCAAACAGTCGGTTTTTTATCAAACAACTGCTATCTTTTTCTTTTGAGATTTTTTCAGTCACTAATAGCTAATAGTTACTAAACAGCCGATAAAATTATCTTTTCATTTAGTTGTGTCAACATACTCTTTAGTGTCGGTCTTCTTTCTTCACCTCTTCCTCCTCTATCTTCCTTATATGATGGTTTTGTTTCAATTTTCATCCTTTTTAAATTTTCTTTTATTTTGGCCATTTTTATACAATTTTGAGATTACTTTTTACGTCACTTTTAAATTACTGTTTTTTCGGGTATGTCATGTTTTTCATTTGAAAATGCTATTTTGACAAATAATGCCAGTATTATTTTATGAAGAATGCAATATTACTTCTCAATTACTCGTTTTTCTTTTCTCATTTTTCTTTTTCTTCTCAAATTTATAGTTTCAATTTTGAAATGTTATTGTTTTCATCTGATAATTATTTCGTAATTTTATATGAATATATCATAATGTTCAATCTGGAAATGACATATTTTTTAATTTATACGTCTTGGAATGCCATAGCTTTTATGTGAAAATGATAGTATTATTGTTGAGGTTAAGTCCTCACGATCCAATGGTCCAACGCAATCTCTTGAACTTTTGTATGATATTTTATGGGTTTTAAGTATTTAGTGAGTTATGAAGGCAAAGCACTAGCGAAAAGAAGCAAGGGGTAAAGTGAGCCGAGTTCTATCGATGAACTTAATTAAAATTATTACAGTGCACCCTTACCGATCCTGAACCTTGACCATCTAACTCTAAGCTTAGAAGTTTACGAAAGAATCTGGAGAGAGTTATTAGGCTATTTTAAATGAAAGTTTAATAATTCTTTACAATGAAATAAATGCAAGTATTTACACTACAATGTAGTAGGTTTAGGAGGTGGGCGACGCATCGAGCCCTGAATGGATGACCCTGAACCATAAAAAACCCCATATCTGGAGCATTAAATGGACTCCCCGCTATTTTTTGTTTCCCGTCAACTATTTAGTGGAGCTCTTCATCAGACAGGCAGCAATAGCGGGAAAATGTTAAGTGTTGGGATTCACCCCGACCAGCCAACCCTCGAACGGGTCATAGCGAATGAGTTAATGGCGTCTGTAAACGGAGGTTGGACCCTTCATATGGGTTTGGCCACCCGGGATATTTGGGCTTGCCTATGTTAGGCCCAATACACCCACCATTTATTTATAACATGACACTACATGATACGGAATATGCATGCCATTCATTATCTTTATCAATATGACAATTGACTCGCCAAGGGAGATAGCAATCGTGGAGGAGACCGGCAGTGGTCTCGCTAGAAAAGGTCGCGGTTGTGGTGTGGAGACAGTAGTGTTAGGGGACGCAACCGAGATAAAGGGTGCAGAGGTGGCAGTCTCGACAGAAGGGCTGCATCACAAGAGGAGGTTGTGACCGTTGGGCAGGTGAAGGCGTACACTAGATCTTTCAATTTCTTTTTTGTTGTGAATAAATGATAGGATTTCATTAATTAAAATTTAATGAGTTAATTCCCAAAATATGACTAAAACAATGAAGAAATGCACAAATAGGAATCCATATTTTGTAGGGTTAAAATGTACTTACTTGATCAAAATACCCTTAATGAATTTCTAAGTTATAATTTAAAAAAAAAATCCTTCCTATAACCTTATTTTTGCCACCGCTTCCCCCACTCCCACCTCCACTACTCCCAACTCCGCCGATGCCGCCATTCTTGACGCCAATGCCACTTTCAAACGCTACTATGACATTGTGGTTGTCGTCACATCAGGTACCATCGTGCGGTCGTCGCTAGTTTTGAACATCCAAGAGTACCATCCTGCTGCATAATATTCATGGTTTATTTCATTATGTTGGGAAAAAGGTGATTCAAATGGGAAAATTTTCACACAAAATTTTGTTTTGCCAAATAGTCTTCTATTATATTTTAAATTAGATTGGTTTCCATCACATATCGGACCATATTAGACCTAATAAGATCATATTTTAATAAATGTAAAATATATATATAACATATATCTACTAGACAAACCCAAATTTAAACAAGCCATGACTGACTAAATCTACCAAGACTAGAGAATTTCAACCCAATTAAAACATACTTAGATTTTTGATTTGCGACCAAATGTGAAATGTCATGCTATGACTCATATATATCGTTTTATATAGTAAAGTTGATTTATGAAGTGATGATATATCACTTTCTTGTTGACTTTCTAATAATTACTATTAACGTTACTTTTACAACCATTGTTTAATTGGTTAAATGACGCAGATGCTTAAGCAACATAAGAAAAACTTATACTTACACGTTACAACATTTAATTAATTCATAACATTTACATTACATATTTATTGATTGGAATATACATCAAATCATATTGTAAATTATTTTTCAAATTTGGTACCTTAATTATATGCATTATTACATTGAGAACCCATTTGGTAATACTAGAAAGGGGAAAATAATATAAATACCCCGAACTTTGAAAGGATGTGAGATAAATACCCTGAACTGGAATATGTAATATATATACCCGAACTTTATATAAAAAGTTATTTTTGCACCATGATTATATGTTTTTTACAAATACAAATTTATTACAATAAGTACATAATTCAAAATAATCTAAGCTTTATTTGAATGTAGTTAACATTCTAATATTTCATTTGTGAAATAAATAATATTAATCAAGTAGAATTTTATTTTCAAATGTATCCTCATAAGTGTTTTGTGTGTTTTAAATTATAAACTAAACACCATAAAATTACATTTGTGAAAAAACATATGATCATGGTGCTAAAATAACTTTTTATATAAAGATTGGGGTATATATATATTACACTAGCCTAGCACGCGCTTTGCGCGACGGTTGTTGCCCAAGCTTTGGAAAGCAGGGAATTTGCGGTGCACAAGAACATATGAAAACACATTAAAAAAGGTAGGTGACCAAAAAAAGTTAACGATGTCCATTACAGCAACAAGGGGAATAAAAAGTTTAGTTCAAATGTTTGGGCCAACAAGATGCAACAAAATGTTATAGTAGCAGGAAGATTAGATAAAACATCACACGGCTGCGAGTTTAAGAAGAGCTAGAATCGTCATTGCATGCAGCGCTACTGATCTCGTATGTGTTGTTGCGGTTTGATAGGTTCTCTATACCACAAGATGAAATGGCAAGCAACAACGTTCTACCACGCCCGTACTTCAGGAAGAAGAGTGTGGAATGCGTCTTCAGTTCAAAGGCCATCCGGATTTCGTGCAAAATAGGTTCTTCCCCAGTCAGAAAATAAGCGTCTTTTGTGCCAAGGTATATTAGCAGGCGACCCCTCGTGGCACTGCATGACCTCAGGAAAGCTTCACAGCAATTCTGCATTAAAAAATGGAAATGCAATGAAACCATCATTGGAAAGAATATATTCAAACATGGAAGTGTAATATGCGTTTACTATGAGAGTTCATTATTTGCAGTTGTTATTTGAACACACATGCCTTGTGAAAGTGATAATAAGAGTGGGTGCACAAAAATCAAGTTGGTGCTCTATATTCTGTTTCGGATGCTAGTCATACGTCTGGTAAACATCCGGTTATAAAGGTTATCGCAAACGTTTGGAGCATCAGACCCAAACGACAAGAAATACATTTTATTGGCTATGCATCCGGTTATAAAGGTTATCGTTGCTTGGATCCCAAGTCTGGTAAAGTTTTTATTAGTAGACATGTTCATTTTCATGAAAATATTTTTCCATATGCCACATTGTCCTCTTTTACGGGTCATATTTCTACTTCATCCACTCCTCTTGGTGCTGATTTTATTCTCACCAACACCACCTCATCTACCCATAGTCCCACTGCCACGGTAGCACAGTCACCACCCAACCTGGTTGTCTCCTCTTCCACACCGTCAATCCACCACCATTCTGCTATACCTCCTTCCACGACACACACCCCATTACACACTCCAGTACTTCAATCTCCCATCACCCCTCCAACCGTGACCCCTTCCCCTGAACCCCCCAAAATTTCCCTTTCGCCAGAGTCACCCACAGCCAGTTTACCTCCATTACATGTGAATCCAGCCCCTTTAATCAACAATCATCCCATGCAAACCAGGGTGAAGTCGGAAATTTTTAAACCCAATTTTTTTTTTAATTTAAACACGGTTGTTTTTATCAGCTGATCCTACTTGTTTTTCAGAGGCTTATGAACAGTTAAAATGGCGTGAGGCGATGGCTGAGGAATTTAATGCTCTTATTTCTAATAATACTTGAGATTTAGTGCC